AAGTGATTTAGATACGATCCTATTCGATTATGACCTCGAATCGGTCATCGCCGACTTCCATGGCTCGATTAGAAGGAAGTCCGTTGGTATTGGGCAAACAGACTGCAGAATGGACAGAAGGGAAAAATTAAAATAAAATTTCTCCACAGGAGGAATGAATGGCCCGGTACACTTATCTGGGAATTTACGATGGTACTGCACAACGCTGTAGGTACCAAGCAAGTAAAAAACCATGGAAACGGCCTACCAGGCAAATAAGCATAAAACTTCATTACGAGTTTAAAAATGGTATCAGGATTCCCGGCCTTTAGCAAAACGAAAACAGTAAAGACGCATATTTCTTTTCATTGAAAAAAGCACATTCCGCGATATTTCTTCCCCTCCTCTCTGCTGTGCAGTCAGATAACGCAATACCTTTAGGATCAGACTGAAGGCAGCAATTCGATTTCAGCTGCAAGCAAAACTAACCCACATTTAATGACCACTTTTATTGGCCATTACTGGACGTGGTTACAGCTATAGTTATGGCCACTTCCCCTACATTAGTACATGAATGACGTTGTCCAGCCAAACCGGTAATGCTGCAGGCGACCCAAACTAAGCACATCCTAAGGGTCGTGGCCTCGGGCTGAGTGATTTGATTGGCGTCGTCAATGTTATCGTTAATATGGGAGAGCTTTCACCGGTGTCCAAAAAACGATCGCCTTGATGCAATTATTCCACTTAAGCCCTCCGCAATGACTTAGAGCAGACAGTAGAGTGTCAAGCAAGGACTACACGACTCTGACTAGTGAGTGAGGCAGCAGAGTGCTTCAGTGAAAGCTCAAAACCGTCACAGCTTCGAATGTCATTAATCCTGATAAATTTAAGAATGGGGCAATCCGGGACTAACTGGTCGAACCGTGCATGCATGTTTGTTTACATTGTGCACGTTCTTAGAGGGCCGATTCATAACAAGTTTCCCATTTTATTAAGTGACATTAACAATTCGACACTAGCCGTTAGCGATCAGGGTCATTTTGGGCAAGACCTACAATGAGGACTGTAAGGGACGCGAATGGGTAAACGTTAAATGACCCTTCCGGGCATTGTTAGCCACGGCCGAACGAAAGGGACACTGCTTCAACGCACTAACTTAAGGAAACGAAGGGTTTTCGATATTTTCCACGCAAGTGAAAGATTAAGCGTAAATGAGTTGCTCTGACAAAGGCACCGGTAGATCTTAAGAAAGACTCTGGTGTTGAAATCTGGAAGAATCAAGGGAGTTGAAGTGGAATTACCTTCGCACACATTTCTCAAATTGAGTATAGTAGGTCTTTGAGAACTTTTAGAGGCTGTGGAAGATGCAACCGAGGACCTCGACTCACAAAGCGACCTCCGACCACTGGAGTTCTGCGAGGCGCCGAAGAAGTTGAGGTCTCTGGGCCAAAATCGGCGCATCAGACGGGCGATCTCAGGACCGTCCATTTCGTCAACTTCGGCGTGGCAACTCCTCGACATTACGTGGCGCGCTGCCGCCTTGTCTGGCATGAAGACTGCGGATGTCTGTTTTGGGGGCGAAAGAAAAATAGCTTCAATGCCAAGTGGTAAGGGCACATGATGCCCACATATGAGAGAGAAAAGAGGGTTTGTTACGTGTTCATCTTGCAAGTTCAACTCTTTATACATTACAAACACGTTTATAAGACATTAAAATAACACGTAGAATTGGAATTGAAGCATTTAGTAATTGCGTACGCCAGCGAATCACTTCGATTTGTTAATGGAGTAGCAAGGAAGAAGCCCCTAGAGCCAAAGAAGTTGCCCAATATTGAAGTGACTTGAATTTATTATCAAAAAATTACTGACACTCCGATGACACTAATCGATTTTTTGAGAAGGCGATATGCAAAATACTGAGAAATTTGG